GGAATCCCAGCCTCTCCTGGGAACTTTGCGGATCCCTCCATCTCTCTCTCTTTCCAGGCCAAGCAGCTGCAGCTTCAGAAGCGGCTGGAGGAGGCCGAGAAGCAGCTGGGGGAAACACAGCAGCAGCTTCAGCTCCGTGAGATCGAGGCCAAGAGCTCTGGGAAAGGTGGGAGGCAGCCCCACCCCCACCCCCACCCCCCCCAAGCATGGCAGCAGGATGTGGGGCAGCCCTGAGTGGGCGTTGATGGGTGCCGCCCTTCCCTTCCTCCAACACCCAACTGGTTTGGGCCTCTGAAGATTGGGGGCAGTGAACCAAGGACGTCCTTGGGGCCGCCTCTCGCCATGGGGCAGCAGCCCCCCCCCCTTCCCCACTGCTCTGCTAGATGGGGGCCTCTGACGGTTCTCCCAAGCGACACCTGTCTCTCCCCTCATTTTGCGGGGGGAGGGGGGCGTTGGGGCATGTCAGTTTGAGTCAAGGCACGGGGCGCCCCTGGCCACCCCAGTGAAGTTCTGCCCCAGATCTGTCAGGATGTCTTAGGAAGCCTTGGGAGCCGGGCAGAGCGCAGCGTCCAAGGTTATTGCCAGCGTGGCGTGAAAGGCGCCCGTCGGGGAAGGTTGGGAAGCCTCGGCACTGCTGGGCTCTGGGGGCACCTGGGGGGCGCTGAGACCCTTTCATTGCTCACTTGGCCTTTCTGACCCAAGGAAGGGCTCCGGATAGGAACCGCCTTAGAATCCCTGGGGCTGCGGAGGGCTCAAACGTTTGAGACCCACTGCTCTCTTTCTGGCAATTGGAATTGCCCGGGAGGGGAGGGGACGCCTGAGCCCCTCCGGCCTTGGGGCCCCTGCTGCGTGTGTGCAAGCAGCCCGCCCTGAGGTGGGGCGTGGCCAGCCGGCTGTGCAAACGCGGATCCTCTCACACCGGCAGGGCACGAGTGGCAGATGCGCCTGGACTGCGCAGAGACCGAGACGGCCTTTCTGCGGAAACGGATTGCCCAGCTGGAAGAGAGGCTGGAGAGGGAGCAGCAGGCGAAAGCGGACGTGGAGCAGAAGGCAGGAGGGGGGGGGACGCAGGGCATGTAAACCTGCATGTGGGAATGTGGGAGGAGCCCTCCCGGGGCCTTCCCACCACTGCCCGGCTGCTGCCTGTGGCCTCACACCCTCCCTGGCTGGGTCTAAGCCAGAGTCTGCCGAGCCCCCCGAAGGGCTACTCCGGTGCAAGTTCCCCGGGGGCTCTGGGAATCACGGGGCAGTGCCCAAACTCCTCGTCCGTGCCAGAGGCCACAGGGCTGGCGTAGGTGGCCCTGCAGTGGGGGCCGCGGGAGGTGTGGGGCCTCCGCGATGTGCCCTAGAGAGGGGTGGCTCTCTCTTCACGGGGGCCCCCCTGCTTTGCAGCTCAGCCAGGCGCAGCAGCTGTACGAGGAGGCCAGGCGGGCGGCCCAGCAACTCAAGCGCAGGTGCCAGCAGCTGACCTGTGAGCTGGAGGACACCCGGGTGCTGATGGAGAACCAGCAGAGTCGCAACCATGAGCTGGAGAAGAAGCAGAAGAAGTAAGGGTCTGCCTTGGGGGGGGGAGCACAGGAGGGCCCCCCCCCAGGCTCTTTCAGCAAGGCAGTGGCAGCCGACCAGACCCTAAGCATCTCCATGGGATGGGATGAGCCTGGGGGGCATAGATTAAGGGTCCTGGTCTCCCTCCCCCCCCCACAAAAAATAATGGCCGGATTCTCTTGAGAGCAGAGCCCAAGGAGGAGGGAGACCTTTGTGGGAGGGGGCTTCCAGGGGGATCTTGCCCCACGGCTTCTCCAAAACTAGACGGACTCTGCATTCCTCATTTCCTTGTTTTTGCCCTGGGATTTCAGTGTCTCTCTTGTTGGTGCAACAGCCAGACGGTGGCGCTTGTGTGGGGGGGAGGACTGAGCCCCCCCCCAGATCCCAGACATGCAAGGCCTTTAAACACAGACCCCCCACCCCAAAAAGTCCACATTTCCCGGCAGGTTCGACCTACAGCTGGCCCAGGCGCTGGGAGAGGCGGCCTTTGAGAAGAGCCTCCGGGAGAAAGTGGCGCAGGAGAACTCCGGCCTCCAGTTCCAGCTGGGCAGCCTGCGGCACAGCCTCCAGGTAAGGCCTGGGTGGGCACAATGGAGACTGGCCGTGCCACCCACCTGCCAGGCTGAATCCCAGCACGTCAAGTGAGTGTGTAGGCTGATGGCAAGACCCCCCCCGGACCTCAGCCCAGGCTCCAGAAGAGGCTGGCTCTCCAAGGTCTGGAGGGCGGCTGGGTGGTGCCCACTTTCCTGCTCTCTCCCCTCCCCCCCCCCCGGCAGCAAAAAGAGTTGGAAAAGGAGAGCCTGGCCCAGCGGGTGGCAACGCTCAGCTGCCAAATGGAGGAGCTCGGCAACTGTGCCAGCCTGGAGGCGGGTGCCCCAGCCGCCCTGCAGAAGAAGCTGTGGGATCTCGAATCCAGGACCTTGGAGCAGCAGCAGGAGCTGAGCCAGCAGACCAAGGCTCTTCAGCAGCTGGAGCAGGTGAGCCACCCCCCCTTGTCTTCCTTTCCAGAGGGGCCCAAGCCGGGGATGGGGTTGGGAGGCCCCCCGTAACCCCTGTTTGTCCCCTCCAGCTTCACCTGAGACTGGAGCTGGAGATTGAGAGGACGAATCAGATCCACCAGAAGGAGCTGGAGGACAAGGAGGAGGAGCTGGAGGACAACCGCAAGTCGTGCCAGAAGCGGGTACGGCCTGCCTGAGGGGTGTGTGTGTGTCTTTCTGGCCGTGTCCCCTCCCGGCCCCTCACCTCTCCCTTTGCCTCGGCTGCAGCTTCGCCAGCTGGAGATGCAGTGTGAGCAGGAGGGGGACGAGAAGCAGAACCTCCTGCGGGAGAAGCAAGACTTGGAGGGCCTGGTCGCCACCCTCTGTGAGCAGGTGAGGGAAGAGCAGCTGCCCGGCGGGCGTGGGGGCACCCCAGCACTGCTTGACTGTCCCCTGGCAGAGGCCCCCAGAGGCTGCAAAAGGGCCCAGGGCAACAGCAGCAGGGATCAGTGGCATCTGGAGGGCCCCTTTCACCGTGCAGAAGGGAGCCCCCGTGGCTGAAGACCCCCCCCCCCTTCCCCGGGAGAAGGAGCAACATCCGTCTTTGCTCCTGTCTGCTCGGTTTTCTCCTGGATCTTTGGCCAAATCTGGTGGCTGAAGGGTTTGCTTAGGAAAGGGGATGGAACAGCCGTTTTTGACCTGGTTCTCTGCTTTGGGCACCCCCACGTGGAGGCCCAGATACAAGCCCCCCCCCCTCAGCTCCCCCCTTCCTTCAGATTGGCCACCGGGACTTTGACGTGGAGAAGAGACTCCGGCGCGACCTGAAAAGGACCCACGCCTTGCTGGCAGACGTCCAGCTGCTGCTGGAGACCTCTGGGACAGCAGAGCCAGGCCCCTCCGGAAGCCAGGAGGAGTGGGCCAAGCTTCGCAGCCAGGTGAGGAGGGCGGCCCCCAGGAAGAGGCTCAGGAGGCAGCCGGGGGGCCTCTTGGCCTTTGCCCGCAGGGGCTCCGCACCAAGGGGGTGAATCACTCCCAAGGTTGAATTAAAAGCTCCCCACTTTGCACACTTCCTCCAGCATAGCAGAGCCCGAGAGGGAGGGAGGGGGCCTTGGCTGGCCCTTGATGGCACTTGAACGCTGAGCCTCTGAGCCCCCACCCTGTTCATCCTCTGGCTCCCCTTTTGCAGTGGTGCAGAGAGGAAGGGCTGGGAATGCAAGGGGGGCCCTTGGTTGAATAGAGGGTCTGCTCTGGGCTCTCTCTACCTGGCTGTAACTACCAAGCCTTGCCCTCGCTCGCTCGCTGGGCATCTGTTCTTGGGAGGGGGCTGGGGGCCCTCTAGGGTTCCCCCCCAACTCGCTGGGGAAAGCTGAGGGGGGAGGAGAGTTTGGCTAATCAAAGGCATCTCCAAAGAGTCCTGGGGCCCTTCGGATGCAGCAGCAGAGCCGAGGGGCCCCTGGGCAGGCGGCTGGGTGGGAGGGATGCTGGGAAGGAGGCAGCCCGTCTTGGTGACTCATCTGATCCCTGAAAGGAGGGGGGCATGGCTCTCCCCCCCCCACCCCAGGTAGAGTACTTCCAATTTAGCTACACAAGCATTCCGGAGACATTCAATAAATAATCCCCCTTGCTTGTTTCCATCGAAAACACGCCATTCCGGAGATGCGAGCAATTACAGTGAGCGCAGACGTCGGTAATTGGGATAATAATTCTGTGTAAACAGCATCTGGGAACTGCAGATGTTTCTACCTGTTTGGCAGAAGCGGGGGAGGGGGAGTTGCAGGTCCTTTCGGGGGCTCTTGCCTTCGGGCACTAGAAAGATGCTGCCCTTGCCACAGGAGAAGCCCCCCCCCGGGGGGCTTTGCCACTAGTAACCAAGGTGTGTGTGTGTGTGTGAGATTGGAAGATACCTTAAGCTGCCCTCTTCCAGCCGCAGCCCCTCCCGCAGCTCAGTTTCAGGTCTGTGTTGAGAGGCGGGAGAGCGAGCCACCTGCCCCACCCCCAAATATACTTCCAATCCGGTCGGGCTTCCCCAGAGGCTGTTCAGAATTGTGCCTTTCAGGACAGACCGTGAATTTAGCTGCTCTTAATTTGATTTCCCACCGTTTCCCCAAAGGTCTCCAGAGGTAGCCTGACCTCAACAGGGGTCACTGCAACCCGTGTGCATAGCTGGACCTGGTTGGGAGTGGAGTCTCCCAAGTGTGAGGCCACCGCCCACTGCCCGCCCAAGAGGGGTCACCTCATTGGATGGAATCCCAGGGCCTCTCTTTCTGATAGGTGCCTTTAGATGCCTGTCAGTGGGTGTTGCGGAGATTCACCTCTTCTCATTTGTCCACGTGGGGATGATGGGGTATACTGCACCTGGATGTGGAAGATCTCATTCCGAAGGGAGCAGATGAAAGGCCCGCCAGAGGTCTGGCTGTTGCTGTCCAGTCTCAACGTGTTGATATTCAGAATCATCCCCTTTTCACTCCCTCTAGACAGGCGATGCGGGGTGGGGGGAGGCGCAGGGAGCCCCCTGGGCAGCAGCCCCTCTTTTGCTGGCCCTGAGATTGGCGTGAATGTCAGCCTCCCCTGGAGAATTGGTTTCTCCTTTCCGTGACCCCCCTGGGAGGTTTAAGCAACAAGGAAGTGGGGGGGGGGTTTGAGGTGCTGAAGGAAAAACTTTCTGCGAGGATTAAAAACCAGCCGAAGGTGCCCTCCCTCCCTCCCTCCCTCCCCCTCCCCTCCCCAGCCACGGAGCCTTTTGAGGAGGGGGCCCTGGTCAACATGCAGAAGAGGCCTTGAGCAGATGGCACCGCTGCCAACTTAGCACGTTTGATCTGTTCATACATTATGTATCCTTTTTGATGGGAATTTCAGTTTGTTTTCCCCCAAGTGGGAAAAAATTTATTATGCAGATTTTAGAAAGAGAGGGAGAAAGGAGGGAGCAGAACAGGCAAATGAAGGGCTGGGAAGGGAAGGGCTGAATCTTTCAGGAGAGGCAACCAGAGATTTAACAGCTCTGGGGCTTATAATCTGAATTAGGGGTGCAGAATGAGAGGCCTCTGCGTGCCCCACATTCGTTTCTCCTCCCAAATGGAGACAAGCGAGGCTGGAAAGCAGAACCTTTCAACACAACCAGGGGAAGGGTGGGGGACGTGGCCACCGCCGTCCATCCGGCCACGCCAGCCCTTGGGGGAAAAGGAGGGTGAAGCCCCAGGGCCTCTGGGGATGGAGAGAGGGGCAGGGCGCTCAGGGGCTTAGAGCCTGTCCCTCTCCCTGCTTAAGAAAGACCCCTTCGTAACCCCTGCCTGCCCCTCGCTTCCATCCCTGCAAATTGGAGGAGATTCACCCCATTGGCCAATTAATGAGGGCTCTTCAGCTCAGCCGCTGTGAAAGAAGAGGCCCCATTGTTGTCCCAAGGAAGGGGGAGGAGGGGAAGGAGGCATCGTTCCCCCGGGTTCCCTGGCGCCAGGTGCCGAAGCCGGACTCAGCTGTAGGAGAGCCAACGGGGCCGAAGCCACCGTGTCCTTCTTTCCTCCCTGCTCGGGCAGTGGGAAGAGAGCGCAGCCAGGTGTGCCGAGGCCCAGGAGTCGCAGAAGACGCTGTCCCTGGAGGTGGAGAATTTGCACTCGGAGCTGGAGGCGGCCACCAGGAACAAACACTTGGTACCGGACTGGATAATCGCCCCCCCCCCACCCAAAGGGCCCACCCCACCCCACCCGCATGGAGCCCCCGCCCGGAGGCCTGACGGTCTCTTCTGCAGGTGGACGAGCAGCTTTACCAGCTGCAGCACGAGAAGGCCGACCTGCTCAAGCGCTTCGAGGAGGACCAGGAGGACCTGAACGAGCTGCTGGCCAAGCACAAGGCTCTGATTGCACAGGTGAGGAGGGGTGGGGGACGAGGACCCCTCCCTCCCCCTCTCTTCTGGGCACAGAGCCCCAACCACTGGGCCTCCCACTGGTGCCCGCTCTCCTTTTCTGCTGCCATCCGACACACAACGCTTGTCTCTGCCCTTCCAAGGCTCCCAGATGCACCTGCGTCCCATTCCCCCTCTCCCCCCCCCCCCGGGAGAAGCCCCCCAGCTCAGAATAATGGCAGGGCTGAAGGGAACCTTCTGGTGGGAATCAGGGTTGGTGTCACTGGCCAACCTTCTGGTCAGTGGTGACGGTTCTGAAGTGGGCTTGGACTGATTGCCCACCCTTGCCGAGGGTCCTCCCTGCTATGGGGCTGCCCCTTCTCAGCCTCCCCACTGCCCCCATGAGCGCTCAGAGCCCTCGGCTTCTCTTCCTCCCTCAGTCGGCCACCGACATCGCCCAGATCCGGGAGCTTCAGGGGCAGCTGGAGTCGCTGGAGAAGGAGAAGCAGGCGCTGCAGGAGAGAGTAGGCGCTGGGACTGCATGCCGGCTGGGCTGGGGGCGCTGGGCAGGGCACGGGGCGGGGGAGGGGGCTCTGCAGAGGGGAGGTCAGCAGGTGAAAAGAAAGGCCTCTCTGGAGCCAGGGACCTCAGTTCCTCTCCGGCTCTCAGAGAGGGGAGCTGCCAGCCTTAGCTGGGGACGGTGCAGGGATGGTTTGGGGGTGGCTCTCCTCCGAGTGTCGGTGGTGCTTTGCTGCAAGGCCGCCCCATTCCCCCACCCCAACCAGGGGACTGTTGTGCTTGGGGAGGCCTTCCCGGGGTGAGCTCCCCCTTCCCTTCCCCTCCGCAAACAGCTGCAGGCGGCCCAGGCCAGACTCTCCTACCTGGAGCAAGCGACGGTGGAGCGCTCGATCGTCAGTCGGCAGGAGGCCGTGATCTGCGACCTGGAGAGCAAGATGGAGTTCCAGAGCGTCCAGATCAAGCGGTTCGAGGTAGGGCGCCGGCTCTAGCGGGGAGGGAGGGAGGGAGGGAGGGGGGAGAGGGGTGGCTCAGCTCCCCTGAGGCTGCTCCCCGCAGGTACTGGTGCTCCGTCTCCGGGACAGCGTGATCAAGATGGGAGAGGAGCTGGAGAAGGCCAAGGAGAGCGAGGCACGGGAGAGGGAGAACGCCCACTACTACCGGCTGCGGCTGGAGGAGGTGAAGGCGGACATGAGCGAGCTGGCCCAGAGGGAGCTGGAGGCCAGTCGCAGGCGGGTGGACCTGGTAAGAGGAAAGGGGGGCATCCATGCGCGAGTGGCCTGGCCTTGACCAGGGCTGCTCCTTCAGCCTCTCCAGCGCCTCTCAGGGTCTTGGGGGGGGGAGGGGAGAATAGCCGGTGTGCGAATCTTCTTCTGTGTTTATAGGTGAGGTGCGTAAGGCGCTTCCTTGCACCACCAATCCCAGGACAGTTCATGGCAGCGTGCAGGAGGGGGGCCCTGTTTTCACTTGGGAGGGAAGCTAACATCCCTTTTCCTTAGCCGATGACCTTTGAGCCCGTCACGCTCTGCAGCCGGGCTGATTTCTCTGGGGCTGATGGGGGCTGGGTGCCAGGGCCCGTCTTGGGAGACCCCTGCGGGGCGGCTGGAAGGGCTTCCCTTCCCCAGGGGTCCCTCTTCTTTCGCTTCAGTGCCCAGAGGTGTGGGTGCAGAGCGGCGCCTGGTCTGTGAGGGGCCCTTCTGCCCAAGGCAAGGTCGGGCGGGGGGAGTCCAGTGGCCTGGCGCCCTCCTTGCCATAGCAGCTACTCCGTGTGTAGTTGGGAGAGGACTTCCCAGGTGAAGGGTTGTGTGGAGGATCGTGCCTTTGCTCCTGGGGAGCTCCAGGAAGGTTGTGCCTTGACCTCCCGTCTTGGGTGGAAAGCTGCCCACGTGTCCTCCTTGCTCTGGGCGCCCGTGAAAAGAGCCAAGGATGCCTTTGGCACAGCCAAGCCCTGGTGCCAACCTGTGGTTAAGTCCCCGCCTCTTGGTTGGCCTCGAAGGCAGCCGTGGTGGAGGGACGGAGGCCGAAGGGAATGCAGAGCCCTGCAGAGAGAAACTCTCTCCTCTGCCCCAAAGCCCTTGTGGGGGGGGGNGAGGGAGGGAGAGAGAGAGAGAGAGAGAGAAAGAAAGAGAGAGAGAAATGTATCTTTAGAAATGTGCAATTATGCCCACCCCCTCTCCCCGTCTCCCTGTCATCGCACGCACGTATCTCGGTGCGGTGGCATTAAAATATCTCTCGTTTGCACAGTGACGGCCTCCGCACACCCAGTGAGTTTCCAAACCACCCACAGGAAACGGGAGCCGCCTCTTTGCGACTCCAAGCCCTGAAGGAGCCCCCCGAAAGCAGCACAAGGCCTCCCCCCTTCTCTCGGCCACTCCACGAGCTTTGCCTTTCCTCTCGGGCGGAAGGAGGAGGAAGCGGCTCTCCTGCTTTCGGCCAAGGGTCTTCAGGGCCCGTCGGCCTCCCTGCTTCCTCCTTTCCAAAGGGCCGGTTCAGCCCCTGCCCTCTGGGAAGCCCCCCGAGAGGCTGTCCTTGTCTGCCCCCGTGAGCGTCTTCCAGGTTGTCCCTCCCAAGAGACGCTTCCCTGCTCTCCTGCCTTGGGGAAGTGGGGGCAGGCGGGGGGCTCTCCCACTTTCCTAGGTCCCAGTGAAGGCTGTCCCCCTCCCCCTCCAAAGGCCACCGAGGGACCCCCTCCCATGCCTGGGACGGGTGGGAGAGGCGACGGTGAGCAGAGGGTGAGGACCGAATCCGGCTTCTTCCGTTCAGCCTGTTCTCCTGCAAGGCGGGGAGGGGTCTTTCTGCCCATCTGCACCCCTGGCCCATTTTCCCTTCCAGAGCAAGAGGGGCCCTGCTCTTCCCCATGGACCAGGGGTGGCATCTGCCATTGGTGGGAGGATGCTCGGGGCTGCTCCCTCCCACCGCCGGGCCCTTCTGCAACCGGGGAGGAGGGCTTTCTCCGGCCCCACTCTGCATTTCCTGCCCTCCTCGTTTTCCCTAGCCACGGTTCTGTTTCCCCGTGACTCGTCCAGCCCACAAACCACCTGCTGCGATCGCTCTCGGCCCTTCCCAGCCAGGCCTGGCGCTGTTTGTGGGTGCCTGGCTCTCTCTCACCTCCGTGATGTTGATTTGATTGCTGGCAGCTACAATCAGGAGGGATTGCAGGCTCTGCCACACTGGCCACCCCCAGGCCTCTCCCCTCTTTTGCAGGGAGGGAGGGAGGGAGGGGCTGGCCGTCCCATTTTCCAGCTGGGAGCAGTGCGGGAGAGTCCCTTGCTCCGAAACGCTTTGGCCCGGCGGTGCCAGCGGGGGCTGGAGACACAGCCAGATTGGCGCTGCTGCTGCTGCTGCTTCAGGGCAGAGCAGAGGCAGCTGGGGGCTTCTGCAAAGCAGCCGGGGGCAGCTGTGGGCTAAGCTCAGAAAAGGGGTTGAAGCAATCACTGAGCCCAGCCTTGTCTCCTTGTCACATGCGTCCCTGGAGGAGCTCGGAAGGCCCCATGGGAGGGAGCTCCCCCACCCTGCCCTGCCTATGCTGCCCCCTGAACCCCCCTCCCCTTTCCCCAGGAGAAGCAGGTGGACGAGCTCTCGGTGGCCAGGCAGACTCTGCAGGCGGACCTGGAGACCTCCCTCCGGCGCATTGCAGACTTGCAGGGCGCTTTGGAAGAGGTGCAGTCGAGCGAGGAGAGCGAGGCGGAGAGGTGAGTGGGCCAAAGCCTGGGCAGTTCCTCCCCGTTTCCTACCAGGGCCCGGCCGTTGCCCAGCTCTCCACTTTCCAGGGCCCTGCCAGCTGCTCAGCCAGAAAAGCTGGGAAGCCGAATGGGGCCCCTGCTGAACCCAGAGAGGGAGTTTTGGCACCATGGACCCAGCAGATTTTCCCCATGCTGCCCCGGCCGTTAGTGGGGTGCAGCGGCAGTTTTGGGGGAAGGTTTGATAACTGGCTCCGGTGCGACTGGCCCCCCCTCCTGCCTCTGGGGACCGGTGGGTTAAGCCGTGGGGTTGGGTCTTGCTTGAGTGCCCAGCTCCGTCCCAGCAGCCCCCTGGTGCTGGAGGGTCGGCCGTGTTGGCTGCAGCAGGAGCCTCAGGGAAAGGGAGCCCAACACAGGGCCTCTGTTTCCCCAGGCAGAGCCTCCTTGGCTGCCCCCCCCCCACCTTCCGGTCCCCCCACTCAGCTTTGTGTAATGAACAGGAGAGGGAATTGATCCCAGGAGCCAAACCCACAAAGGAATCCTTTTCAAAAGCAGGCCGCCTAGAGGGACACACANAGGGAGGAAGGGAAGGAAGGAAAGAAGGAAGGAAAGGGAAGAAGGAAGGGAAGGGAGGAAGGGAGGGAGGAAAGAAGGGAAGGGAGGGAGGGAAGGAAGGAAGGAAGGAAGGAAGGAAGGAAGGAAGGAAGGAAGGAAGGAAAGGGAAGGAAGGAAGGGTTGATGAGCAATGCTCGAACTCCTTGGAGATGCCCCATCCCTGCCCCTCCCTCAGAGTGGAAGCTGTGGGTCGGTGGGGAGATCTGGGGGGGGGCTTTGGGGAGCCTCTTTGTTTCTGCCACAGAATTGGAGGGAAAGGACTCCAAGGGGTGATTTCCGTGGTTCCTTCCTCTGTCTCTTGGGGAAGGAAAGGCTGGGAGGGGGCTCTTTCTCAGCCCCAAAGGTTGTCTTGCACCAGTTGCAGCCGTGGGTTTGCTGTGAGGATTAGCAGCCAATGACTCCCCTCCCTCCCTCCCTCCCTCCCTCCCCATCTCACCTGAGCCTTGAATAAATCTGGGCACTTCCTCATTTTGCCAGCAGAGAAGGGGTGAGGGTGAGGGAGCGAAATCCCAGGACATCCAGGGGCAGAAACAAAATGACTTTGGAAGGGAGGCTGTGGGGAGACTCGGCTGGCAGGAAGTTGGGCGCGGCGCCCTTGTCACTTTCTCCAGATTGGTTTGGGGTTTTGCCTGGCGGGTGGCTCCGGCTCGGCCCCCCCGTTCAGGCTGATGGTGGGCAAAGGCTTTCTGGGCCAGGGACGGGGGGGGGTAACGGAGCCTGGGCAGGGAGGCTGCTGGAGGGGCGGGCGAGTGGCTGGGCTGGAGCCAATTCCCCCGGGGCTTAAGAGGGGATCCGAATGCCGGTTCCTGTCGTGGGCACGGCTCAACTTCGCTGCGGCAAGGAAGGATCCTTCCCGCAGGGATGAGTGTTAACCGGCTGTCTGCAAACAGTGCTGTGGAACGGCGCCCAGAGAGGAAGGCCAGGAAATGGGCCCTTAGGAGGGAGACGAGTGTCGGCTGAAAACCCCGTAGAAGCTTTCTGGTCCTGTCGGGGGGCTGCCTTTTCGTGCCTATTTCTCTGGGCAGGTGGGCTTCGGAAAGAGGGTCTCTCCTTCAATGTCCGTTTCGTCTGCTCTCTTCCTCCTTCCCAGCAGGGTCGAGAGAGCTGGATTAGAGCACCGGCACCATTGATGCGTTTTTTTGTTAAAAAATATTTGAGTTGTAGATGGGATTCTGCTCTCGAGGGTCGGAAGCTGTTATGGAAAACCCTTCCTCCCCAGAGACGGCGGCGTCACTGAAATAGCCGGTCTCTAAGTGGAAACGATGGTGCTGTGAAAGGGAGGGTGTTTCTCTCTCGCTCCCTTTTTTTTGGGGGGGGGTCTGGCCTCCCCGCTCTGTGTCTGGCCGTTTCGCATTGTCTTTGGGAGAAGAGAGAGAGAGCTGTCAGATCCATCTTTGAATCGCTGGGTTTTTTTTTTTAATTAACAGCAATATGTGCATTTGTTTTGAAAGACTAAAATGTAGAGAGGAGTTTGAGTGGGGGGGGGTGGAGGAGTTCCCACTCAGTTTGCCCCTTGGAAAGCCTGAAATCGGGGCTGCCCTTCAGCCCGGCCTACCTCGCAAGATGGTTGGGAGGATGCAGCATGGGGGAGGGGGGGAAGGGCTCACCTGCCCCCCTCAGAGCCCCAAAGGGAGATTTTGAGCAGGTTGGAGATTCCAAGGGAGACTTAAAATAGCAAAGGGCAGAAAGAAAGAGAGAGAGAGAGAGGGAGGGAGAGAGAGAGAGAGGGAGGGAGA